AAGGAACGAGACAGACAATGCTGAGAAGTAATTTAAACAGAATAGGAAGTGCTTTTAGTTTGGCAATGCAAATGTCATATATATATGACATTTATATATATTATATATTTGGCCATAAGACACTTGTGCTTGCAGGAGAAAGACAGAAAAAGGGAAAGTGAGAAATTACAGCACACCCTCTCCCCCCACCCAGGGGAGATGATTATACTGCAATCCCTCTCCTCTAGTCTCCTCTCAGAATCCTGGGCACACACACACACACACATGCCCGGCATAAGTTTCAAGCCTCCTGGTCCAGAACTCAAATCACAGTTAGCCATGTGGGAGTCCGGCACCTTAACTACCACATCACCTGCTGGCTCCATGTCTTTTATGTTTTCGATGCTATATTTAAAGCGCTTTTACACTCTTATAGCAAAACTTGTGTCTCTCACCTACCAATTAACATTTACATTTTCTTTATTCTGAGAGATTTTTGCTATAGAGCACATGTATTTGCCAGAGTGACAGAGAGACAGAAATTAAGCAATCACCCCCCCACAGGTGATGGCCACACTGCACCTTCTCCTCAATTCTTGGGATTTGGGGCAGGTATGCACATGCACCTAGTGTGAGTTTTAAGTTACCAGGTCGGGGTCTCAAACCATGGTCAACTACATGGGAGTCCAGCGACATAACCAGTATACTATCGGCTGGTCCCTACATTACATTTTCTAAAAATAGAATTGAAGGGACCAGCCGATGGCATACTGGTTACGACGCTGGACTCCCACATGACCTACTACTGTTCAAGTCTCAGACATAGTGGCTTCAAAATCACACCAGGCACACGTGTGCATGTATGCCCAAGATCCCAGGAGGATAATGGAGGAGAAGGAATTGTGGTGTGTCCATTCCCTCTAGGGGATAATTTCTCACTTTCCCTTTCACTGTTTCTGTCTCTCAGGTAAGTACACATGCCCTAAGGCAAAAATGTCTTTTAAAAAATTGTGACCAGCAGGTGGCATAATGGTTACATTACTAGACTCCCTTGTAGTTGACTGTGGTACCCAGTGACACCAAACTCATGCTGGGTACATGTGCATGTGTGCCCAAAATCTGGAAAGGAGAATGGAGGAGCAGGGATTGCCGCATGGCCATCTTCCCTGGGGGGTGATTTCTCGCTTTCTGTCCCTCTGCCTCTTCATGTCTCTCCATGGAGCGCACATGCCCTATAGTAAAAATCTCTCTTTAAAAAAAAAAAATGGATTCATTCAGAATGCTAAGTAGCTACTGGAACTTTTAGCAGAGTTAAATCTTTATTGAAATGTCTTTCTCTATGGGAGCTCTCAGAATCATACTTTCCTTTGCTACACAGGTCCATAGTTACATGTTTTTTTCTTCCAGATAACCAGCCTCCCGTGATTCAAACATCACAAGACAAATTACAGGCATTTTATGGGGAAAACTTCGAATACCAGTTCACAGCCTTCGATCCAGAAGGTTCTGATATCCATTTTACTTTGGATTCTGGTCCTGAAGGAGCAAGTATTTCTTCTGCAGGACTTCTTATGTGGAAAGTAGAGTTACAAACTCCTCAGCAATTCACTCTACATCTCTATGATGACTGTGATGCTGAAACTAGAGTCACAATTGAGGTAATATTCATAATTACATAAATGTCACCTGATTATTTAGCAAAATTAACAACAAGATTTTAAATTAAAATACATGCCAAGGTCGGCCCCTTAGTACAATGATTGAGCATTTCACTGAGGAAGCCAGATGCCACATGGCCAATCAAGGTCCAAGTTCTGGGCCTAGCAGTTTGAAAAACACTGATTTTGCAAGCATGCCCAAGAAGAGGAAGAGGAACTGAGGGAAAAAGAATTCAGCATAGCCAGGACCCTTTTTTTTGGAGAGGTTTTTCGCTATAGTGTGCATGCGCTCGCCGGACAGACAGAGAGAGACATAGAGACAGAAAGCAAGAAATCACCCCCCAGGAGAGATGGTCACGCTGCAATCCCTTCTCCTCTATTCTCCACTCGGGATCTTGGGCACGCACGCACAGGCGCCTGGCGTGAGACTTAAGCCACCCAGTCCGGGACACAAACCACGGTCGACTATGTGGGAGTCCAGCGACATAGCCATTACGCTAACTGCTGGTTCCCAGTATAGCGAGGACCCTTTGAGGGGTATGTCCTCTCCTTCCCTCACTCTTTTTCTTGCTCCTTTCGTGTGTGCACATACTCTCTGGCATATATATATATATATATATATATATATATATACACACACACACACACATATATATATATATATTTATATATATGCACACACATATGCCATATTCTTGTATCTTAAAGAATAATGAAGTTATTGAGTATTGCATGGAAAAATTAAACTGCTAGTATTTTTACTATTCTTTGTAAGAATTTTAAATCTTAGAGATAGTCTCAAGCCAACATGGATCTAAATTCATAATCTACACCACTTTATTCTGCACTTAACTATGACAAGGGTAAAACACTCATTCATTTCCACCACCATGAAAATCTGTGGTTACTTAAGATTGGTAATTATAGCATTTTCTTTTGCATGAAGGGATTTCAAATGTTGCATTAGAAATCAAGAGTGTAAATATAAGACTGAAATATAAGATTTGAGCTATATTTCAACTATTGTTGAAACTGACAACTCCTGCCTTTATTGGCTTTTCTTTTGATTATGTCAGTCATGAGCACTTAATACTTATTAGCGGGAACCAGCAGTTAGCGTAATGGCTATGTCGCTGGACTCCCACGTAGTCGACCGCGGTTCGTGTCCCGGACCCGGTGGCTTAAAACTCACGCCGGGCGCGTGTGCATGCGTGCCCAAGATCCCGAGAGGAGAATGGAGGAGAAGGGATTGCGGCGTGACCATCCCCCCTGGGCGGTGATTTCTCGCTTTCTGTCTCTATGTCTCTCTCTGTCTGGCAAGCGCACGCGCCCTACAGTGAAAATCTCTCCAAAAAAAAAAAATACTTATTAGCCATTTTTGTGCCCTATGTTCACTTGAAATTTGGGGCATCCTTTCTGACAGAAGCAATATTGTGATGGGCAGTCATGTCCTATGTCCTGTTAACCTAATAATTCCAGTGATAGTCAGCTCTCTAGATTTGGTGATAACCTCAGCGACCAATGACATTCTACTTTAATTTTTTTTCAGGCATTCTATTTTCATTACAAACAGTAAACATCTTATAACACTTCTTATTTACTCTTTTTTTAAAATACAGTACATCTTTGACACTTCTTTAATTGCTGAGGAGTGTGCATATGAAAAAGACAGAGAGAGAAAAAGAAAGAGAACATGCCCCAACAGAGCATGATGACACCACGAACTTTTTCCACCATTACTCCCTTCTGTCAGAACTTGGGGCATACATACACACATGCCCAACATGTTCTTCAAGCCATCGAGACTGAGACCTGGACTTCAGTAGGGCACGTGGCGTCCGGCTCGAGTGCACTGCAATGTATACTATGGAGCCAGCCCTGTAGTATCCTTTTTGTTTATTCATTTCTTAAATAAGAGAGGGGAACATGGAAAGAGAGGGAGAGATAAAGAGATAGACACCTCAACAGGACCTTTGCACAGTGATCCTCACCCAGCCCTGCAGGCAGCTGGAATCACAGAGACACACAACATGTTCAGATAAACCTGTGATCTAACCCTCGGCCATCCCATATGGTTCTGTCATACCATAGCAGCACTACTGTCTGTGCCACTGTGCTGGACTTCATTTCGAAGTAGATCTTAAAAAATAATTCCTAGAATTTATATTTGGCTATGATTTTGAGAATGAGCATAGCTGCCCTATTAAACTATTTTTTACCACTATTTTCTACTAAATACTTACATATAGCAAAAAATTCATGACTTGGTCATTCTTATACATAAGCATACATGTCTGGGGGCATAAACTGAGGATAATTTTATTGCAAAGTAAAGCATTTATCTATTTATTTATTTATTTTGTAGGTTACTATAAAATCTTGTGACTGCTTGAATGGTGGATCATGTGTATCTGATTTGAAATCTCCTCCAGGAAGTGGCATGTACACGTGTTTCTGCATGCCTGGCTTCAAGGGGAGTCTTTGTGAAGTGAGTGCCAGTGAGTGCCAGTCGAACCCCTGTAGCGTTGGCAGATGCATTAGTGGTTTGCACAGTTATGCCTGTAATTGTCCATCTGAACTTGAAGGTAAGTTTGGTTCCTCATGCGCTAAATTAAAATGTGAACGAATTAGAAGGGAATGTTTCATGGGCCAAGTGGTTAAGGGAGCTGGATCCCACATGGCTGACCCTGGTTCAAATTCCAACCCTGGCAGCTCGAAAAACATGCTGGGAGCACGTGCACCCCCAGATTCCAACAAGATGGAAAAATGGAGAAGAGATATTGTTGTGGCTATACCCCATTAGAGGGTGCTTTCCCCCACTCCTTCTCTTTGTTTGTCTTTGTCTCTCTCTGGTGAGTGCATGCACTCTCTGGAAATTAAAAAAAAAAAAAGTTCCTTTGAATATTCAAGCAAATAAATTATTATAAATATTTTAATACACATTTTAAAAATTCTAATAAAAGTTATCATAAATACATGTGCTTGGGGTTAGCAGATGATGTGGTAGTTATGTCACTGGACTCCAACATGGCCGAATGCATTTTGAATCCTAGCCCTGGTGACTTGAAACTCACACTGGGTGGGTGTGAATGCATGCCCACAATCCTGAGAGGAGAATAGAGGAAAAGGCATTGTGACACAACCATCCCCCCGGGAGTGATTTTTTGCTTTCTGTCTCTCTCTGTCTCTCTTGTGAATACCTGTACCCTACAGCAAAAATTGAGAAAAAAAAAAGTGTGCTACTCACTTCTCTTGTTTTTATTGTAAACTGCTTACTTTTGAAATTTTGCCCATTTTTATAACTGTATTGGCTATATTTCATGTCTATATTATGTTTTGCAGGTTTCTGAATATTTCTATCTATATTTGGTAGGTAGGAATTGAAACATAATATGAAATAATAAAGAAATTATGCCATGGATATTATAAAAATTTTTACTTAAGAGAAGTTTTTATGGATAATTGATCAACTTAGAAATATTGTGCTATAGAGTTGAAATTAAATAAAATGTTAACATATTCACTAATTCATTAATTCTCCTAAAATGTCTGATTCCAGAAACTCAAATAAGTACATAATTAACAATTTTTAATTTCCCCAGGATTCTAAAATACTTGTTTCTTTAGGCTAAACAGTTGCAAATATTAAATAAATAAATATGCAATTATTGAGTGATATTTTTCTGAATGACACATATTTTAGCTTTAGAAGAGAACTAAGCAAAGTATTTGCATATCTTCTAATTTTCATCAACACTTTAAAATTAAAATGTTATTATTTGGAACTATAAATGTAAATACTTCTTTTAGACTGTGCTGCAGACTATATTTGAAATAATTCACATGTTGATTGCCTCACGAATTTAAGTATAATAAGGTTACTTATCCATTAATCACTGTGAATTTATTAATTCAAATAACTTATTAAGCATTTCAAAGGACATCACTTTATTTCAGAAAATTTTACTGAAGACTGACTTTCCTAGTAATAAAATTTTCATTGATTTTTCACAGCCAAGGCAATGGCAGGACAAACCAGTTGTCTTTAAGCTAAGCAGGCAACCATTCTAAGCAACTTTTTTTTTTTAATCGCTGAGTTTTTAAACAAACTACAAATTACTGCTTGGTAATATTTTGCCCAAAATATTAATAGAGTTTTTAAGTTATCTACTTACAGAAAGAGGTTTAGGTACTTTAAGGCCCTGATTTAATGCTAAGTAGAACCTAATTAATGACCTTATAATTAATTTTAAAGGAAAATTTAAAAACAGCACACTTTGTACAATGCATGACACCTATTTTAGGATTAAGAGGGCAGACATAAAGAGTAGAAGAAATCAGCTAAGGAGCTGATTGGACATAGAATATATATTTCAATTTAAATAATTTGAACTCATCTATATTTCATTCAGGCAAAAATTGCCAGGAAGATGTTGATGAGTGTCAGTCTAAGCCTTGCTTCCCAGGAGTAGAGTGCCTCAATACCTTGGGTGGCTATCATTGTGGTTCGTGTCCAGAAGGATTTTATGGTGATGGAAAAATGTGTCAAGGTAGAAGTCCCTATTTTCTGCTATTATATTTTTTAAAAATTTTTACTGTATTTAATTAATTCAAATCACTCACTTTTATTCTTTTACTCATGCTTTCATTCATACACATGAACTAGATGCACAGAATGCAGAAATATATGATATGGGCTGGCTGGTGGCGTACTGGTTAAGGGCACAGGACTCCCACATAGTTGACCGTGGTTTGAGTCCTAGACCTGGCAGCTTGCTTTCTCACTTTTCTGTCTCTCTCCAGTCAAAATTTAAAAAGAATAAATAAATTTAAAAACAGCACACTTTGTACAATGCATGACACCTATTTTAGGATTAAGAGGGCAGACATAAAGAGTAGAAGAAATCAGCTAAGGAGCTGATTGGACATAGAATATATATTTCAATTTAAATAATTTGAACTCATCTATATTTCATTCAGGCAAAAATTGCCAGGAAGATGTTGATGAGTGTCAGTCTAAGCCTTGCTTCCCAGGAGTAGAGTGCCTCAATACCTTGGGTGGCTATCATTGTGGTTCGTGTCCAGAAGGATTTTATGGTGATGGAAAAATGTGTCAAGGTAGAAGTCCCTATTTTCTGCTATTATATTTTTTAAAAATTTTTACTGTATTTAATTAATTCAAATCACTCACTTTTATTCTTTTACTCATGCTTTCATTCATACACATGAACTAGATGCACAGAATGCAGAAATATATGATATGGGCTGGCTGGTGGCGTACTGGTTAAGGGCACAGGACTCCCACATAGTTGACCGTGGTTTGAGTCCTAGACCTGGCAGCTTGCTTTCTCACTTTTCTGTCTCTCTCCAGTCAAAATTTAAAAAGAATAAATAAATAAATAAATAAATAAATAAATAAATGACATGTCTTCCAACTTAGTTAGAATGTGATAGCAGGAAATTTGACTAGTAATTACATAGTACAATAAAGTGTGCTGTGTCTTTTGATAGAAATGCATGGAGGGACTAATAGGAATACTATATAGAAAATCATGTTTACCTGGAGGGATGATGAACAACTTTAAATATGCTAGATTCATGAGAACTGAATCTGATGTATCAGAGCAAGGGAAGGAAAGTAGGAAGGAACAGCATATGTGAAGGTACAGAGGCATGTAACATCACAACACGCCTTGGGTACTGTGAATAATTGAGGTGCCTGGAGTATAGAAGGTAAGGGGACTACTACAAAAGCTGGAGCTAGGGAGGTAGCCATCAGTTGGACCATTAGAAAATCATAAGGGAGTCTCTTGAAGTTTTGAAACAGGAGAGAAACATGACAATATTTACATGTGAGAATCTTTACTTAAGGAATAGTGTGGAGAATGAACTACTACAGATAAGGAACCTTGTATATCTGTAGGTGGATAGCAGAGTTAAGGGAATATTTCAAATATATAGGAAAAACATGGAGATATTGCATTTTGACCTGAGGTGATGTAATCATAGATAAAAGAGGTAATACATAAAGAAGCAAGTTGATAATATTTGGTCAGTGATTGGGATTAACATAACAAAGAAAAGAAAGTCAGCAAGTGTCAAGTGCTTGATTCAGTGAATGGTGGTAGAAAACTGGCATTCACATTGCTATTGAGAAAGTGGCCATCTCCAAGACAGGAAGAGAGTCCTCACCAAAAACCATATTAGTCAGCACATTGATCTTAGACTTCAGAGCCTCCAGGATGGTAAGAAAATACATTTGTGTTAAGTTAGCTAGTCCATGGTTTTCATTTAGGGCAACCACAGCTAGGACCTGCATACAATAGACAGAAGGAATAAGTGATTTTGGAGGGCTATGATGATGACCTCAGTTTGGAGGGATGGTAAACAACTTTTAAAAACTGTCTAAATATACTGGACACAGGAGAGCTGACTCTGATGTATAAGGAGCAAGGGAGAGAAAGGCATTCCAGTCAGAAGGAACAGCATAAGTAAAGTACAGAGGCGTGTAACTGAACAAACTATGGAATATCTATGTGGAATTCAGGGGAGAAAATTAAGTTAAAGTTACAGTATTTAGAATCATTAGCCATGGAATGAAATTGTTCAGGGAGAACTCTTAGATTTAGAGGAAAGGGGGAAAATTTTGTGAGCATCAACATTTTAACAGTAAGTTATAGAAGACAATGTCAAAGAACCAGATCTTTGGTATAACTAAGTAAATGGAACCCAATTTTGATGGAAAATATGTATTAAGGGTATAATGCTGCCTTATGTTTCAAAGTGGGGTGGGCCTGTCTAGCAATGGAGGGAGTGCACATGAGGAACATAGTGAAGGATGCTGAGACTTCCTACTGCTTTAGCTATTCAGATTTCCATCTCAATATCAATTCTTAATATTTACACCTTCCACTCCATGCACTGAAGAGATGACATCTCTCTTTCCCAAACATACTCATTCCCTCAGTAAATTGAACCAAATTCCACTATACATGAGTGTCTACATTTGTTTACATGGTCTGAGTCACTCATGTATTTTAGGAAGAATCCTATTAATACAAAAGAACTTCTGGTCATCGGTTGTGTTTACCTCATTTTATAGTAGGCACCAGAGTAGATGAATATAAGACAAAGCACAGCTCTTACTCTAGAGATTAATACTAGCTAGTGTGGAAGGGAGACACCGAAGGATCAATAGCTTGACTGACAAAATTCCATGAGATGAAATTGGGTGGGTGAGGGGGACTGAAGAAAGGTGTGCTACTCGGCTCAGACTGCTGTGACAGAATACCACAGACGAGGTGGCTTACACCACAGAATTTATTTTATCACCATATGAAGGCTTCAAAGTTTGAGATAAAGGTGAGTTATGGCTGGTTTCTGATGAAATCTCTCTTCTTAGCTTGCAGATGGCCCTTCTGGCTGGGTCTTTCCTCTGCATGGTGTGTCCTCTTACATGGACAACAGTGCAGTTGGACCACAGCCCCAATTTTATCTTTGAATCTGAATAAACTTTTTGAAGTAATTCTCTTTAAATATAGCCACATTTAAGGTTAAGTCTTCAACACATAAATTTTGGGGAGACATGATTCACTCCCTATATGAAGACTTGGGTACACAGATGACATTTAAGCTATTTTTTACATATGATTTGCAAAGACTTCAATCTAAGTGACATTTGTATTATATGTTCTTATTAATGGTGCTTTGGTTTTATACTAGGTTAACTATGATCCGCTTTTTATGTACTCCTTTACAGTTGAAACACAGTTTTTCAATGAACTTAATACACAAACTATGGATCTCACAAAATCTGACAAAAGCGCAGATAAGGAGCAGGACGGTAAAAATGCCAAACAGAGAGAAAGGCATGATGAGCCAACAAATGGAAGTGTCTCCAGTAAGTATTCATCTTAGTTAAAGGTCTAATGGCAAATTAATCCTCCCGTTTGTTTTCCTGAACACCAACATGTTTATTCTTTAGGTATGCTTATTTTTAGAAAGATCATCTGAAAATTACATGTTACGGTTTAAAAAATATATTTTCTTGCCAGTCTATTAAATCTTCTGGTTCTATTCTAGAAAATGCATTCCTGTCACATAATAAAGAATGGATAGCATCATTTAAGGTGATTCCAGAGAAGCTTATGGTGAGGAGTGACTGCTTCAAACCTACAACCTATAAATTCTTGGGAATTGGTCACTCCGCATCTTCTTAGACCCTAAGAGTGACAAGAAGTTTATTATTCCACAAGGCATTTCCCTTTTTATAGTGCTTTTTTAATAACTCATTTTATTCAGTAACATTCTATGATTGTCTTCATAAAGATCTTTCACATATCCCATTAGTATTCTTTATGCTTTTGCATTCTGTAATATAGCTATTTTTGTGAATGCGATTTTGGTTTATCTTTAAGATATAATTTTTATTATTTTTTTCTTTTTTAGCTTATTTTGTTTTTGTTTTGTTTTGTTTGCATTTTTTTTTTTTTTAGTTTTGCTATGGGATGTGTGCATTTACCAGAGACAGAGGGAGAGAGAGAGGGCTAATTACCATCTGGGGCAATGACCACACCACAGTCCTTTCTTCTCTAGTCTCCTCGAAATTTGGGGTATGCATACACACAAACCCAGTGTGATTTTTCAAGCTACCAGGTCTGGAGCTCAAACTGCTTCCTCAGTCCCATGGGAGCCAGCACCTTAACCTCTATATCACCTGCTGGCCCAAGATGTCATTTTTAATTCCTGGAATTTTAATTCATGGAATATAGTATATAATATACTGTCTGTCTTTATTTTAATGATGTTCATGCATCCAGTCACCTTACTGAATACCAATTTATGCTATTTTTTTAAATAATGGGTTTTCTTCCTTTATTTTTTTAAAGAGATTTTTGCTAGGGGTGTGTGTGCTCACCAGACAGACAGAGAGAGACAGAGAGACAGAAAGCGAGAAATCACCCCCCAGGGGGGATGGCCACGCCACAATCCCATCTCCTCCATTCTCCTCTCAGGATCTTGGGCACGCATGCACACGCACCTGGCATGAGTTCAAGCCACCAGATCTGGGACTCGAACTGTGGTCGACTACATGGGAGTCCAGCAACATAGCCATTATGCTAACTGCTGGTCCCCTATTTTCTTTTCTTTTTAAATAAGTTCTTTGCTATAGGGCACATGTGCTTGCCAGAGAAAGATAGTGAGAGAGAGGGAAAAATTACCCCCTGAGGAGGTGGATGACACAATCCTTTCTCCTCCATTGTCCTCTTGAGATTTTAGGCATGCACATGCACAAGCCCAGCGTGATTTTCATGCCACCAGGTCCAGGACTCCAACCATGGCCATATAGGAGTCCAATACCTTAATCAGTATGCCACCTGCTGGCCCCTATGTTCTCTTTATTTTTAAGCCTTTTTCTTATTTAGTGAATTCTCTTTTATAATTTTATCAGCAGACTTTATTTTTTTGTGACAGAGAGATTTTTGGTATAGGGTACATGTGCTTGCCAGAGAGACAGAGGGTCAGAAAGCAAGAAATCACCCTCCAGGGAGGATGGCCATGCTGCAATCCCTTCTCATTTATTCTCCTCTCAGTTTTTTTGGCATGCATGAACATGTGCCCGGCATGAGTTTCAAGCTGCTGGATCTGGGACTTGAACCACTGTCGATTGTGTGGGAGTCCAGCACCTTAACTACTACAGGACCTGTTGGCCCCATTGACAAACAGTTTTTCAAATAGTGACTTCTGTCTTCTATTGTTATTTACATTTTTATGTAAATATTAGTTTAATAAATACTTAAAACGTGCCAGCACCAAACTTTTTTTGTATATTATTTAATTCAATCCTCATAATAACTATATACAGTTACTATTATTATTTCTGTTTTACAGGTGATTATAGAGACATATATGGGTTAAGTAATCTGTCTAGATTATAGAGTCGTAAATTATGGAAGAGAGCTTTGATCCTGAATAATCTAACTGCAGAATCCAAGCTGTCAAATTTATGTCCTCATTGCTGTGGTTGGGACCTTCAGTGCAGTGTAGAAATGAGAGAACAATGGTTTCATTGGAAATTTCTGTGGTACTTCTGTGGATTTTGTGAGATATCTTTCATTCAGTTGAGGAATTTTTTTCTTTTTCATTCTTTTCTTTTTTTTTAGAGAGAGATTTTTTGCTATAGGACATGTGTACCTGACAAAGAAATAGAGACAGAAAGATGGAAAGCAAGAAAACACTTCCCAAGGGGGATGACCATGCCACAATCCCCTCTATTTCACTCTCCTCTCTTGATTTTGGGCATGCACACACACACATCTGGCATTAGTTTAAGTTCCTGAGTCTCGGACTCGAACCTCAATCGACCACATGGGAGTCCGGCAACATAACCATTATACCATTTGCTGGTCCCAGGAATTTTCCTTTTATTTCTTGATATTTTACAATTTTCTTTACTTTTAACTCAGGAATATATTTTTAATTTTATCAAATGCTTTTTTGGGTATCATTTATTACTTAATGTAATTTCAGTTAACAAAGTTCCTTTAAGCTAACTTTTTCAGAATAATTTTAGTCAAGAATTATGTATCAAATTATATTTAAGCACTATCTTATATTGCTATTTTCTTCATTAATATCTTTATGTAATTTTGTAATCTAAATATGTTAATAGATTCAAGTGCAATTCTGATATGTTATTCCATAACTACATTGCTGCATTTTATTTGCTAGTTTCATTTAACATTTTTTACATAATTTAGTAAATAATAGGGACTATAGGATTATATTTGAATTCGATTAGATGTTTATAATACTTTGTATCTGTTTTGTACATTGCAGCAAGTTGTTTTGTTTCGTTTTGTTTTGTTTTGTTTTTAAGAGATTTTTGCTATAGGGTACACGTGCTTGCCAGAGGGACAGAGAGAGACAGAGAGATGGAAAGCAAGAAATCACCTCCTGGGGGTATGACCATGCTGCAACCCCTTCTCCTCCATTCTCCTCTCAGGATCTTGAGCATGCACACACACGCGCCCGGTGTGAGTTTAAGCCACTGAGTCCAGGACTCAAACCACAGTCCACTACATGGGAGTCCAGTGACATAGCCAATATGCCAACTGCTGGTTCCTCTATCTATCTTTTCATACAGAAGTATTAATTTTTCTTTTTGTAATCAAATAAATGTATCTTTTCTTACAGCTTTCTTTTAATTGCCATAAGACACATGCATTTGCCAGAGAGAAAAGAAGGAACACAGAGTAAAGGGGTTGAGAAAGCACTCTCTCAATGTGTGTAATAGTGCCACATTCCCTTCTCTGTCATTTCAACATCCTGTTAGGGTTTAGGGCATGCATGCACACACACTTTTTGTGTTTGTTTCAACTCTCTGGGGCTGGTATTGAAAACAGGTTGGCTATGTAGGCTCCAGCTCTCTTAAAAACTAGACTATGAGGCTGCTTCTTTATAGCTTTAATTTATAGCTTCTGTTTACAAGGTTCTCCCAGCTCCCAAGTTAAGCATATGAACTCTTGAATTCTTTTTCAGGGTATTTACTATTTTACATTTAGGTTTTTTTGTTTTTTTGTTTGTTTTTGTTTGTTTGTTTGTTTGTTTTTAAATTTTTGCTATAGGGTATGTGCACTTGGCAGAGAGACAGGTAGAAATCAGAGAGAGAAAGTGAGAAATCACCCCTGGGGGTATGGCCATGCCACAATCCCTTCTACTCTATTCTCCTCTCAAGATTTTGGCCACCCATGCATATGCACCTGGCATAAGTTTCAAGCCACTGGGTCCAGGACTCAAACTGCGGTCAGCTATGCAGAAGTCCAGCAACCTAATCATCATGTCATCTGCTGGTCCCTACATTTAGTTTTTAATTCATCTGAAGCTTGTTATTTTATTATTTGAGGTTGAAACCCAATACTTTTGTTTTTCTTCTGATGGATAGCAGTTATATAGTATCATTTATAAAATAAGTCACATTTAATTTAAATATCATTTTTATTTGTTAAATTTTCATACGTACTGAGATATATTTATTTCTGAGCTTTCTATTATGTTTTTATTATCAAATAGTCTTTTTATACCCAAGAACACATTCTTTTCAGTATGTGGCTTTATTTTGATATCAGTAAGGCAAATATCTTTGTGTGATTATTGTATTTTTGCAATTTTTTAAAGATATCACTAATAAATTCACTTGAACATTAAAGTCATTAAATTTCTAAAGAAAAAGTGTACTGTACTATAATAATATTTATTTGATAACATATGATCCTTCCTTTCTTCTACTGTAATTCTTATCATTCACAATTAATTCCTAATTTTCCTCTACTTTTTTCCCCAATCCTAATGCCAAAAATGCACCTAAAAAGATGGTTCACTTACAGCAACTGGGAGCCGGAAGGAACAATTGTTCAGTGTGTAGAGGCAGAGGGAAGAGGAAACTGATTTGCCCCAGATATTCTAAAGCAGAGCTTTGGAATGTGATGTTGATAGTCCAGAACTAGAAAATAAAAAATGTTCTTTGTATTTGTTGGGCTTAACTCTTTGCTCTCATTTATGTTTTGGGCTATGTTTATTGCTTCCTGTTTATCTAGTAGTTTGACCTCATCTGTGTTCCATGTTTCAGGAAGTTTTTTAAATTTTCAAAAATTTCTTTATTGTACTCATTGCCAACTATGTTAAGGATTAATTTTGATTGTTTTAGATTTGTTTTCTTCTTTATCTGGTTGTGATTTAGCTTAGTTTATTTTTTGCTGTTTTCATATTATAAGCGATTAGAAAAGAGCTGTGCATAAAGACAATGTAAAATCAAACCCTAGGGTTGGTCAGTGGCATGTTGTTTGAGGCGGCTGGATCCCACATGACTGACTGAAAGGTTTGTGGCCTGAACTCAGAGGTTTGAAAAGTGCCCAAGTCCCTAAAAGAGAAATGGAGTAGAGACTGTGGCATGACCATCCTCCATTGGGGGTGCTCTCTCATCCTCTCTCTCTTTCTCTGTTTCTCTTTAGTAAACACGTGTACCCTCTAGCAAATATTTTAGAAAATTAAATTCTAAATTAGCAGTAGAAAGTATAAAAAGATAATCATGCCAAATAATTGCTTGCAATACATACATACTGAAAAATCAATTATAATTTTCCATACCAAAGACATTTTTAAAAAAAGTGTTACAAGGAAATAAAGTACGCTGGTAGATGGAAATAAATGATGACCCTTGACAAAAGCACAGGCACAAATGTTTTTTTTGTTTCGTTTTGTTTTTTTGGAGAGGTTTTCGCTATAGGGCGTGGCGCTCACCAGACAGATAGAGAGAGACATAGAGACAGAAAGTGAGAAATCACCCCCCAGGGGGGATGGTCACGCCACAATCCCTTCTCCTCCATTCTCCTCTCGGGATCTTGGGCACACACGCACATGCACCCAGCGTGAGTTTAAGCCACCGAGGCCGGGACGCAAACTGCGTTTGACTACATGGGAGTCCAGCAACATAGCCATTACTCTAACTGCTGGTTCCCAAATGTTTTCATTTCTAGTAAACCAATCAAGGAAGTTGGAGGTTGGGGCAAGCCCATGGCCTGGTAGTTAAGGCAGTTGGATCCCACATGGCCCAACTAATGGTTAGAGTTCCATACCTGGTGGCTTGAGAAACATGCTAGGCATATGTGCATGTGTGTCCAGAATCCCCAAAGGTGGGACAGATAGAGAAGGGTTTGCAGTGTGACCATGCCCCAGGAGCTTTCTTGCTCTCTTTCTCTCTTTCTGTATATCTCTCTGGGGAGCTCATGTGCTTTCTGGCAAAATACAGGAAAAAAAGAAAGTATAAAAATATAAAATCCCATTTTTTCTCATTAGTAAAACGTGTAGAACTACAGCTTTTTGCCTGTCATATAAAAGGGCATTCATATCACTTAGCAATATTTATTTAAGTATTTAGTTTCAGTCTTCTTCTTTCTAGACAAAATTACTTTAGTCTTTTATGTTCCCATAGGTTTCATTTCATATTTGCCATTCTGTGGTAGTTAATGCTGATTATTATAATGAGTTGTTCATGTGCCTTGATAATAATCTGAGTTGCTCAGAGGCAAGGGTTATGTTTTCCTTTCTTTTGAGGCTAATGTATATTAGGTGATCAATAAATGTTTGTTGGTTATTTTAATTCTTAATAAAATTATTAATTACAGTTCTTTAGCTTTTACATTGTCATTCTGGATTATCTTGTATTCTCAAATAGATTATAAATTGCTTAATGACAGGAACGGTGCTAACAATTTACTATTGTGTGCAGCTCCTGATAGAGCGTTATGCATGTAGTAGACGCTCAACGAAGATGTGAACTACATAAGGTCAAATATTTTAGGCAGAGCAGAACATTAACAACTGTTTTTGATTAATATTTTCACTTTTTTTTGGTTTGTAGATATAAATTTTCCACCACCATCAACAGAAGATTCACAAATTGGTACAAGCTTTACCCACAATCCTCCCACTATCAAAAAATCCTTGAACACAACCAACAACTTCTCACCTTTTGTACCAAAGTCAGTTACAACTCAAATGGATAGTTTAACGAAGGCTATTTCCCACCAGATATCAGGTTATGAACATTTGGATGATGTGCTCAATACAAATCTCAGTCTGGGTGAATTACAAATTCTTATGAACAAGAGTAGTTCTTTAAGCATTAACACAAATAGCTCCGATGATGAAGTAAAAGATGTTACCCAGAGCATCAGCCAAAGGGAGACAAGAGAGCACAACTCTGAAATTAACAGATCTCCCCAAGGTTACACACAGTATAAGGATGGGTTTACATCATTGATGACTGAAGCAATCACTATTTTTCCGGAAAAGTTTGGATCAGCCAAAATATCAACATGTGCTGAATTATCTTGCTTTTTTGGTGTTTCCTGTGTGCCAACCACAGATGGTCACTTCAAATGTGGACGCTGCCCCTTTGGGTATTATGGAGATGGTATCAATTGCAGAGGTAGGATGAAAACTCTTTAGAAGACACGAAGAAAATTATTTAGTTCAAGTAATTAAAATATGTACCTGTTTATTAATTTCATGTATCACATTTTAAAAGAAAAAAATCCCAAAATGGGATTTCTGGGTTGTTTTAAAAAGCAATGTTAACATTACATACTAACATCACATTATGACTATAAAATACATATTATAAATATAGGTAAATACCTACTTTGTTCCAGAGTTTATAGAAACCTTCTGTATCAGCAGTTGTGTCACATAATCCACAAGAAACACATACATTGGTTGCCATTTGTCTATTTTACACATGAGAAAGCAGAGCTGTTTAGGGCCAACTGAGGAGAGAAAACAAAGATATGAATAGAGACCTGGTTAGTATTATGGTTTGAGTTCTTTTCAACTCACAGTGGGCATCTAGCACTTCTAATGACTAATTCTAACATTTTCTTCTTTGTGTAAACGGTTTTTCTGTAATTTCTCTAACTCTTTTAAGATTAAAGCAAATTATATATCACTTTAATTTTAAAAATATTACATGGGACTAGCAGATGGCGTAATGGTTATGTCGCTGGACTCCCACGTAGTTGATTGCGGTTTGAGTCCTGGATCCAGTGGCTTAAAACACACTCTGGGCACATGTCTGTGCATGCTCGAGATCCCGAGAGGAGAATGGAGGAAAAGGGATTGTGGAGTGGCCATTCCCCCAGGGGGTGAATTCCCTCTTTCTGTCTCTCTGTCTCTCTTTCAAGTGAGCACACACACCCTATAGCAAAAATTTCTGTCTATCAAAAAAGTATTACTTACATCTTTTTACAATTAGCAGTAGTTTTCTCTGATGCAAATAAAATTTTTGGCTTTTACAAGGTAGATAGTTTTTATAGCCATTGTTTTGTTATTATTCTTGTGTTTTGTTTGTGTTTTGGTTTGTTTAAGATAAAACTTAAGCAAGAAAGCTTTTGGAGTACTCCTGTGTTCTCAGTATGACCTCAGGACACTTCATGATTTTCTTTTTTTTTTTTTCCTGTACAAATAAGAACAGTAATAAATCTCAACATCTACATGCTTGTAATATACTATTCTCTATTTTGAAATATTCCAAAACAATCTCATGGACTTTAGTCACTTCAGGAAGTATTAAATGACAAGTAGTTAGAAAACATAAGGTGGTTAGAGAAATTTAAGGGATTACAACCTATTAGCTTATGATGTATTCCTGATATCTTGCTCTTTGAAATCAGGATTATACCTGTTTTTTTTTTTTTTTTCTAAGAGGTTTTTGCTATAGGGCGCATGCGCTCACCAGAAAAGACAGAGAGAGGGAGAGAGAGAGAGAGAGAGAGATAGAAAGCGAGAAATCACCCCAAAGGGGGGGATGGCCACACCACAATCCCTTCTCCTCCATTCTCCTCTCGGGATCTCAGGCATGCATGCACATGCACCCAGTCTGAATTTAAGCCACCGGGTCCAGGACTCGAACCATGGTCGACTACATGGGAGTCCAGCGACATAGCCATTATGCTAACTGCTGGTCCCATGGATTATGCCTGTTGGTCACCAGCATTTAGCTGAGTGCTATCTGAAACTTTATTGTTCTGTTGAAAATCTCATGTATGGTTAGCAGCTATCTCCAGTATCAGGTTCTTCTCTGGGAGTAATTAACACTTACTGTACTTATCACCCTATTAATGATTTTCCTCAGTCATTCTGGTAGCAAAACAAATATAAAGGGAAAAAAATTTATGAGAAAGTGTAGTGACTGTTCTTATTTTTTTGTGTGACTTGTTTAATAGCCGTAGCAAAATGTTTACATTTCAAAGGATTTTGCTTTGATTATAACTAAGTTTGTGGGCAACATGTATACACTATATCAACCACTCAGCCTTTCTTCCTTGATTTTTTCCAGCCATTTGTAGACACCCATGTGGAAAAAGCAGGGAGTGTGTTGCCCCAAATGTATGCAAATGTAAACCTGGTTATGCTGGCTCTAACTGCCAAACTGGTAGGTACATCATTTAACAGTTTGCATAATAAATTTTATTTGATAATTGACATTTCTAAACCCTGCACTTTATTTTACACAGCTATATGCCACCCTGATTGCAAAAACCATGGGAAATGTGTTAAGCCTAACGTGTGTGAATGTCTCCCAGGACATGGTGGAACAAACTGTGAGGAAGGTGATGCTTCACATTAAAAATGAAATAGGAACGCTAAAATAAGATATTATTTTCTTTGAAGTATTTTTTACAGTTTTATTGCATATATGCTAACATATTTTCATTAACACTAATTCTAGAATCTAACTTTTCGAATATTTATTAAAAATAATTTATTTGGGAATTTTACGAACTTGAATCCTTAAATCAGGGGTCCAAAGAGAAATAGCTGATTTATCTTTGGTAAAATTACTTTCCAAAGGGAACCAGCAGTTAGCGTAATGGCTATGTCGCTGGACTCCCACGTAGTCGACCGCGATTCGCGTCCTGGACCCGGTGGCTTAAAACTCACGCCGGGCGCGTGTGCGTGCGTGCCCAAGATCCCGAGAGGAGAATGTAGAAGGGATTGCAGCGTGACCATCCCCCCGGGGGATAATTTCTCGTTTTCTGTCTCTATGTCTCTCTCTGTCTGTCTGGCGAGCGCACGCGCCCTATAGTGAAAAACCTCTCCAAAAAAAAAAAAAAATTACTTTCCAAAAACATCTTTTTGAGACTTTGCTATATAGGGGACCATATCTCTGAAAATATTTTTTGCCTCAAAAATAAACAATTGTCGAATGACTTATCAGACATAGTTCTAAGAAAGTATTAAATGCCAAATAATTAGAAGATATAATGTAACAAGAAGAAACCTAAAAATATGATTTAAAATGTATATGTAGTATAATAATTGCATTATTGGGGTCAAAATCTTAAGTGTAGAATTTATGAAATGGCATTCCTAAAGTAGATGATTTTTTTTTTCTCCAGAGGGCATGTGCACTCACTAGAGTGAGAGACAGAGAGAAGAGAAAGTACCTCCCTCCATGGAGAACGGTTACACGGTAATCCCTTCTCCTCCATTTCTCCCTGCTTTGGGAGTTTGGGTATGCACACACACAAATGCCTGGCATTTTTCTCAAGCCACTGGTTCCAGGACTTGAATCACAAAATCAGCCATGTGGTATCTGGCTACCTTAACTACTGGTCCTTGGCTGATATTTTAAAGAAACATGTAGTTTATTTTTAAAAGGTATTTTGAAAGAATATATTTTAGTTGAAGGTACATAGAATTATGAATAAACTGAGAGCCATGTCATATGCTTTCATGACAAGAAAAATTATAAATTACAATTAACTTGGGTAAACTAACAGACACATTCAGTATGAATTGGCATTTGAAAATAATTAGGTATATAGAAATGCTTTATTTGTAGGGCAGGAATATACAAGTCCAAGTCTCACTTCTTAGAAGCTGCCTCAGGTCATATATTTCCATCTATTTAACCTTAACTTTTACAAACCAGAATATTGATGATTTATATTTTCAGAATCTTAATCTTGTAATTAATCCCACAGAATGAAATTTCATAGCAAAAGAAATCTGAATTTATTATAAATTGACCTTACAACAGGTTTTTTTTTTTTTTTTTTTAAGAAAATGCCAGAACATGGCTTCCAGTCCTGACCTGGCTCCCTACCAGCCGCAGTTTTTGTTTTTTTTTTTTTGAGAGATTTTCACTGTAGGGCGTGTGCGCTCGCCAGACAGACAGAGAGAGACATAGACAGAAAGCGAGAAATCACCCCCCAGGGGGGATGGTCACGCCGCAATCCCTTCCCCTCCATTCTCCTCTCGGGATCTTGGGCACGCACGCCCACGCGCCCGGCGTGAGTTTTAAGCCACCGGGTCCGGGACACGAACCGCGGTCGACTACGTGGGAGTCCAGCGACATAGCCATTACGCTAACTGCTGGTTCCCCTTACAACAGGTTTTATGTGACTGTACTTCATAAATATAAGCCTTTTTAAAATTAAGAACTGACCTAACAACATGATCTGTGTCTGCAGACCGTTGTAACCCACCTTGTCAACATGGTGGCTTGTGCTTGGCTGGCAATCTCTGCTCGTGTCCTTACGGTTTTATAGGACCAAGATGTGAAACAAGTAAGCAAAGCTCTCTTATAACCTGATATAATGAAATGGCTCATTTGCATAGTTGATGGCTTCATCACTAAATGAAATGAGCCCACATCCTAAGAAAAGAGCATGTATGCATGATCTATGATGGTGGTTATCATCCTGCATAGCACTGGGAGCAACCACAGGTAACCAGTGCTAAGATAAAGAAGTTTGCTATTCATTGTAACTCACTTCCTGACCCTATTCATGAGCTCTTCTCTGAGATAATAGAAATCCAAACTTGTCATTTCCATACTTATTCAACTCATTTAATTATGTGTATGATCGCGTTCATCAGTAGCTAGTAATTTTCCCAAGCAGCCAACTCTTGTTTAACACTCCACTCAATAGTTTTCTTCATCTCTGTTAGTAAAAATAAGTATGTGTGAGCATCAAAGAGCATTTAAAGCCAAAGTATAAGTTATGTCTTATTTTTCTCTCTGATTTTATGCATTAGCAGATGTGATCGGCAATTAGGAGATAGTTAAATAATAGCCACCCCATGATCATTCCACTCTTAATTTACATTTGTTTATTTATTTATTCTGTGATCTTAGTGGTTTGTAACAGGCACTGTGAAAATGGAGGTGAGTGTGTTACACCAGATGTTTGCCATTGTAAGCCTGGATGGTATGGACCCACCTGTAGTACAGGTAAAATCAGAAGTTATTTTAATCAACAATCATTTAAAAGACATGTGTAATGTGGAACCAGCAGATAACATGGTGGTTAAGGCAGTGGACTCCCACATGACCAACTGAGGTTTGAGTCCCGAACCCTACAGTTTGAAATTCACTCCAGGAGTGTGCGTGTGTGTGCGTGTGTGCGTGCATGCCCAATATCTCCGAAGGAAAATGGAGGAGAAAGGGTTGTCGTGTGGCCATCCCGTTAGGGACAGTCATTTCTCACTTTCCCTCTCACTGTCTCTGGCAAGTGCAAACACTCTATGGCAAAAACCTAGAAAAAGAAAAAGAAAAAAGATATTTGAAATGTGCTTATATCTCAAAGACATGTGCACCTAAGAAATAAAAAATAAAAACTGGCCTGACAATACACTTGTAAAGTTGTTGTTTCAGACAGATTTTTAAAACTCTCTTTTAATCTTTTTTTTAAATCTTATGTTAGATCATAAAATGTCTTTCACACCTTTAATGCTATCCTATTCAACCAACACTCTTTTTTTTTTGCCTTTATATTTTCTTTTCTTACCTATCTTAAGAAGGCGAGAAACATATCTGTGTTGCATCTTCTCAGTTTCTTTGATGTGTTGTTCACAGCACAGATATTCTGCTTCAATAAACATACAAGCAATTCTGAATTAAGGGGACACATGTTACATTATTTCATTTATTTTTCACAGTATCAGGCTTATTGTTTAGCAGCAATGTTTGCAAAGACTCATGTTTAATTTAACTGATGATTTTCTCAACAGAAATGTCATTTAATGTGTATTGCTTGCCAACTATGTGCAAAGCATGAAACAGAGGGAAACAAAAATCAAGTAACATATCATTAGTGAAGGAGACTTATAAAAAAGACTATGATACAAGTTTAATTATTATTAGCAATGTAATTGAAGCTCAGTTCCTTGGAAGCAAAGAAGACAGAAATTAGTTCTGGCAACTGGAGTGTGGAGGAAAACAGGATTTGTAATATATCTTGGAGAATGGGTTAAAAAATGGAATTGAGAGTTTCTGTTAATGGAAAACAAAGGTAAAGAAGTAAACAAAACTGTCTCTGGGTGTGCTAAGTCTTGAGGGCAATGTTTCCTCTTTTTTTTTTTTTTTTTTTTCATTCATTTATTTGTTCATTCATTTATTTGCTGAAGAGTTCAGGCACTCTGTCCAAAGACAGACAAGGACAGACAGAGAGAGAAGAAAAGTGAGAAGGCACCTGGGGTGGGGTGGGGGTGGGGGTTGACCTTCACACAATTCCTTCTCTTCCAATCTCTTTTCCTTCATTCTCCTCTCTGGACTTTTAGACATGCATGCACACACGTCTGGCATGTTTTTCAAGTTGTCGAGTCCAGAACTGGAATTGTGCAGTCAGCCATGTGGGATCCAGCTGCCTTAACCACCAAGCCAAACATAAAAATGAGCAGTCACATGTATTTAACCAGATTTCAAACCATCCAGTTAGTGTGTTAAAATGAATTGTCTTCTCTTAAATTCTAATTTTTTAATATTTTTTTGATTTAACAAGGGCATTTTACATTCTAATCATAGCCTCTAAATTCTTAGCCGACAATTATTTGTAAACTTAATGAACATACTTTTAAAGCAATTATCTAGCTATTTTATTCCTTTTATGTTTGGCAGTGTCTAATTAATTATAGACTATGGGTTTTACTTGCAGTAACACTAAAATATTTCATTATGCATTATTCTGTTCTTCTGTGCAGCTTTTATTTTGTAAATAATAAAACTTTTATGGTCTCTTTCCCCCTTGCTATTCATTAGCTTTGTGTGATCCCGTATGCCTCAATGGTGGTTCCTGTAATAAGCCAAACACTTGCCTCTGTCCAAATGGATTTTTTGGTGCCCAGTGTCAGAATGGTAACTATTCTTACCTTTTATAAGTGAAAAAAGGACATGATATTATAGAGTTCTGAGTAAACACAAGGCAAATTTCAAAGATCAAGATGCTATTTATTTATTTTTCTTTCTTTTTTTTTTTTTTTTTAGAATTTTTTTGCAATAGGGTACATGCACTCCCAGAGAGAGAGAGAGACAGAGACACAGAAAGTGAGAAATCACCCCCAGGGGAGATGGCCATGCCACAGTCCTTTCTTCTCCATTCTCCTCTCGGGAATTTGGGCATACACACACTCATATGCCCTACGAGAGTTTCAAGGTACCATGTCTGGGACTTGAACCTCAGATGCACACATGAGAGTCCTGTTCCTTAACCACTATGCCACCTGCTGGTCCCTTATTTATTTATTTTTTTCTCTGTATCTTGCGATAGTGTAGGTATGAGCACTAAATGACCAGTTCATACAAATATATCAATAAATAAGCATGTCCTATTTATTTATTTTAAAGAGTTTTTGCCTTAAGGCACATCTGCCTGCCAGAGAGGGACAGAGAGAGACAAGAGACAATGATAGGGAAAGTAACAAATCAGCCCCAAGGGGGGATGGCCCTGCTGCAATCTCTTCTCCTCCATTCTCCTCTTGGGATTCTGGGCACACACACAGAGGTGTCGGCATGTTTTTCAAGTCTGGGACTCAAACCACAGTCAGCCATGTGGGAGTCCAGCGTCATAACCACTATGCCATCTGCTGGAGCCCCAAGTATGTCATATTTAGTCAAGATACGTTAGGCTCACAACCTTGGCACTTATCTGTAAAGTTTTGTAAAATCAACCTGTGTAGCAAATAAGTACAGTTTTCTTGCAGTTTATTACAATGATATGGTGTCATTTTATTGCCTTTACAGCAAAAATATTTGATTTATGGTCAATCTTCAGTTCACTGTTATTCCATGATCCCTCTTGACTTTAGTTTTATTAAACACTTATGAAGTCACCCATGTGCAGTCCTGTACAAAATGATGTGAGGACATAAAAATGCATCATTTTCCCCCCTTCATGACCCATTATTTTAACACCTTCCATCATATAATTAATACTAAGGATTTTTCAGGATAATAGGAATAAATGTCTTAACAGTGAGAATGTAGGTATGAAATAATGCCAATATAAAGTGAAATGTAAAGTGTATTTTCTGTATCTTCATAAGTTTCAGTGGATATACAATGTAGAGTAGATTTTCATCATAAACCATGTCAGAATTATCTCCATAATTTAATTCTTATATTCATACTTTCTTTGCCCTGATTCATTTTAATTGCAGTTTTGTCTGGGTGTTGGCTAGGATTCTTACGGTGAAACTAAAGAGGAAAAGAAATCATCCCTCAAACACAGGATAAAGGGAATAAGAAAGAGTTCCTTGAATTCAGATTTCCTTTGAAGGGCCAGTTTTTTTTTTTTTAAAGAATTATTTATTTAATTTTATTTATTATTACTATATTTTTAATTTGTCACAGGGTATGTGCTCACCAGAGAAAGACAGAGAGAGAGAGAGAGAGAGTAAGAAAGCAAGCAGCCAGGTCTGGGACTCAAACTCAATTGGCCATGTGGGAGTCTAGCACTTTAACCACTATACCACTTGCTGGCCCTGGAGGTTCAGTTTCTAAGTGAAAAGAAGGAAAAATAAAGTACATCTTGAAAACAAGGAGAATATGACTGAATCCATTTGGTGTAGTTCTGAGTGGGCAATGTAAGGAGGAAAATGAAAAGCCTATGTCTGTCATGTCACTTAAAGTAGATGGAAGGTGTCGTAACAAAGATCTCTTCCAAAATGTACGTGGCAACTGTGTAACTAAATAAAGGAGGGAAACTCTCCATTACTAAATTGAACTAAAAATTATCTATTGAGCATATACCATGTTTTACGGTCCCAGGAAATATGGTATTGCAGGAAGAACAGGTTTTGGCACTAGCCAGTCTCTACAACTTTCTAGCTGGCATCAACTTTGAAAATTTACCTCAAGTCTCCAGCCTTCAGGTTTCTTGACTTTCAGCTTTGGTTTAGACACTCATTAAATCACCTCTCCTTGCAAGCCCAAACAGTGAAATGGGAAGATGGCATACACAAAGAAATTGAAAAAAAGTAAGGCAAAATATGCTTAAAATAAAAGTAAGTAGTAAAGACATGTATTATAGATATATTGTAGACTTTGGGGAAGATAGAAATGAAGCTAGAAACATTAAAAAAGGGTTAAATTATTCTAAACATATGGCTAGAGAGATACGTAAATATCCCTTCCAATTTCCATCATGACTTGAATTCCACACAGAGGGTGAGCCCAAATGACTTGGCTCCTTCTGGGGTTTGAGGAAGAGCCAGATGAGAAGTGTAGGAACTCATCAGTGTGAGGACAGGATTTTCCCAAATTTTCTTTTCCTTGTGTGGGTTATGAGTGGACATGACCACGCCTAAATTGTATGCCCTTTTATATACGTGCTTTTTATATACATGAATTTATTTCTATATTTAAATCTTTGTGGATGGTTAATTAATTATAGCAAGGTCACCCATCATAAATAATTGTGGTTTTTAAAATTTTTCTTAATAAATCTATTTGAAATCAGTGGACATTATTTTGACAGTGTTTGGAAATAAAAAAGTAGCAATGAAAGATGAATCTTATCCAAATTGGGATCAGTTTACCCCAGCCCTGCTACCAAAAAACAGTTAATTTGAACTTCTTCTTTAAAATATAAACTAAAATGCATTTAATTATCATTTAGGAAGAAATTAAAATGAAAAAATTTTAGGCAGTAGAGATCAAAATATTGGAGGGCATAAAAGCAATGAAAATAGTTATGAATGCTGAAGATAGTGTAGAATGGGGCAGGCGGAGAAGGGAAGAGTATAGAGAAGGATAGCAAGAGAACAAGTAGAGAAGCATGACATCAGTGGGACACAGAAATGGTTTATTACCTGTTGATGCTAACATGTATAGTATTCTCAACTGGACTGGTCTGTGAAGTATTTCATGTTGGGTAAATTTTTTTTTTACTAGCCAAATTATATATAGTAATTGAATGTTTAGAAAAATGAGAATAATTATACTAATCTTAAAAAATTATGAAAAGCTATTTGATGATGACGTGGATATTAATGTCTTCATCTTGATTGATATGCATGGTAATCATGCTGGAAAAAGCAATGTAATACACTGTAAAGATATATGGGATTCAATATAATATAAACAAGATTATGATAATAAAGAAAATTTTAAATCTGGCATAGAAAGTGAAATAGTATAATTATAATAATATAGTTATTAATATTATTAATTTATATTATAAAATTGTTAATATTATAATTAATGTAAGGAGATATTCATGAAATATGTAAGATAGAAAATAAAAGATACAAAATAAAAAATAATTTTAGGCAGGTTTACCTATGTATTTTTTTAAATCACTGCATTTAATTTTTGTATCTGGAAGAAACATGAAGCAATAATAATCTTTTCATAAAAATTATAAGTATTACCTTCTGAATTTCATAGACCAGAAAAATACATAGAACATACTAGTATATTCAAAATTATTTAATAAATACTTGCAACAAAGTTATAGATTTATTATTAAAAAGACATTTCCAAGAATTTACAAGGATAAGTTACCTATAAATCTGTTTTTGTAACTTCAGTAGTTATTCAAAAGTTAAGTTAAAAATATTTTCTAAATATCATATGATGAGTTATCCATATTTTTCCTATTTCACAATGACAAGTGCATTTTTATTTTGGGCTAGATTTTGACTTATTTGCTTGGTTTTGTCCAGGGTACTTTTCTTCATAGTATGGTGAAACATAAAGTAAGATTCATGATATATGTACTATAACACCAAAGACTTCATTCATTATAAATGCTTCACCATACATTTCCAACTGTAGTAACCCACTAGCAACTTACAGCTTTAAGCATCATAGTTTTTGATTTAGAAAGGACAGTTTCAATGACTTGTAGTTGTGATCTTTTATTTCAGTAGCACATTTCTCTATCTTACGACCCCCTAGATAACAAACATACGGTACAATATGTGATCTATAACAATTGAATATGTGATATTCACAGATTGCTGCCATGTGTTCTTTCAGCTATTTGTCACCCTCCCTGTAAGAATGGTGGCCACTGCATGAGAAATAATGTGTGCATCTGTCGTGAAGGATACACCGGTAGAAGATGCCAAAAAAGTGAGACACCACAAAATGAATCTGCCAGCTACAGGTAAAACAAACACAAACTATTGCTTTTCAGGGCTGATATCTCATGTTTTTACCTTAAGGTATCTGCGACCCTATGTGCATGAACGGAGGAAAATGTGTGGGACCAAACATTTGCTCTTGCCCTTCTGGTTGGAGTGGAAAACAATGCAACACACGTAAGAATACTCTCAAAATGCCTAAGTCTTCATCTTTCATAAGAACATAAAGCAGAATTTAAAACAAACTTGTTTTTGTTTCTTTGCTTGCGTTTTGTTTATTTTAAAAGTTTTCTTTCATGAGAGAGACAGCATCGCACCATGCCAGAATCTGCCTCACAGTCTCCGGGCCAGCCATGATCACGGCATGCTCAAGTCACCTCCAAACCCAGGACCCTCCCATATGTCTCTAGCATTGCACAGCAGCACCCTACCTCTTGTGCCCCCAGAGTTAGGCCTGTTTTTGGTTATTTATTCCTGCTCTTGGAGATATTTTTTTGAAATGAAAGTCAGAGCCCTCTGGATTTATATTTTCAGGTTAACAGGACAATGGTATGTTGTATTTTCCAGTTTTCCTATTATACCTGCCAGGATAAAGTAACAAGTCCTTAATTCCTGCTCTCCTAATCTAAAATGGGGTTTGGGAAAGGTTTAAAAACATTACTCATTTCTTGGCCCCACCTCAAACCAAGCAGTTGAGACCCTCCCAAGATGGAGTGCCGTGCTTTTTAGATTAGTTTGTTTCTGAAAACATAATATTTCTCATTCAGATATTTCATTTTTTCCTTTTTTTAAGGTTATTATTTAAGTTTAGCAGATATTATTGATTAAAATGAGAAGCAACATAATTGTCCAACAATTAGGAGAAAAAAAAAAACAAAACATTACAATGCAAACAATGCCAGCCCCATAGCCTAGTGGTTAAGGGAAGCCAGATCCCACATGGCCAGCCAGGGTTCACATATTGGCCCTGATGTGGTGTGTGTGTGTGTGTGTGTGTGTGTGTGTGTGTGTGTGCGTGTGTGCTTGTGTGTGTATGTGTGTGTGCGCACGTGTGTGTGTGTGTGTGTATTTATATGTGTGTGTGCTTCCTCAAAATCCCAACAGAATGAAGAAGTGGAGAAGAAGGGATTGTGGCATGACTATCCCCATTGAGGGGTGCTTTCTTCTCTCTCCGGTGAGCACAGGAGCTCTCTGGTAACTTAAAAAGAAAAATAAGAAATGCAACATCATTGAACCATTAAGATCACATTTCCCAAGAGTATGTAGTGACACTGGGAAATGTTCTTGATAATATGTTAGGGAGAAAGTTCCTTTAATCACTGACTTTTCACCATTTCTTTGTTTTTTTTTTTTTTTTTCTTTACTTTAAGTGTTTGTGGTTTATGGTAGGATTTAACTAGTAATTTAAAATTTTTATTTGTTTATGTTTCTATTTGAAGCTATCTGCTTTCAGGAATGTAAAAATGGTGGTGAATGCATCGCTCCCAGCATATGCCATTGCCCTTCCAACTGGGAAGGAGTGGATTGTCAAACACGTAAGCTTCCAGGATTCTTTTTCTAGTGTATGCTGTTATAATAATTAAAGTGGAATGTTAGACAACATTCATAAGGGAAAATTACAGCATGCTGATACTTTTAAAGCAACAGAAATAACAAAATAATGTAGCCAATTTCATATCCATTTAGAAGAAGGAAGTATGCTATATTAATATTTTTTTGACATACATAGTTTTAAATTATGATGTGTGGTTTGCAAATGGAGGTCCCTTGTGTGGATCAAAGAAGGTTTTAATATACAGAAATTTAAACATTACTTAATATTATATGATAAGTATGTAATTGATCATGAATATCTTATAGGATATGGAAAATATTTTTTAAAATAATTTCAAATTTTATCACCCAGAATTAATTTCTGTTATTTTTCTAGTATCTTAATATATTCCTATGCAGTTTAATCATAAATTTCTGCATAGATGAAATCTCTAGGTAGAGAGGAAAACCAAATGATTTTAAAGTTTATAGCAACCTTAAATAACATGCTAAAATATTAATGAAGATTAACCTAATGGGAAAAGTTATGTTGTCAATATTCAGGTTTGTTTTTGTACTACAGAATTAGGAGAAACTATAAAATTTTCTCTGTGTTTTTTTTATATTATTTCAAAATAAAAATTTAATTAAAAAAATCTTAACACATTAAATTATCAACAAAGTTTAGCCTAATGAGAAAATTTGGGAATCCCCATAAAATAATTTTAAATGATTAATAATTACAAAAATTTAAAACTGATGGCCAAAAATATAATATTATACTCTGAAATTACTCAGTTGCAACATGATCCTGCCTTTTTTTGGGGGGGGTGGGGTGGGGAGGAGGTTTTTGCTATAGGGCGTGTGTGCTCACCAGGAAGACAGAGAGAGACACAGAGACAGAAAGCGAGAAATCACCCCCCAGGGGGTATGACCACACTGCAATCCCTTCTCCATTCTCCTCTCAAGATCTTGGACACACATGCACACGCGCCTGGCGTGAGTTTATGAGTTTAGGCCACTGGATCCAGGACTCGGATCGTGGTCAACTACATGGGAGTCCAGAGACATAGCCATTACACCAACTGCTGGTCCTAATCCTGCCTTTTTATAATACTATAAATGTGTGCCCTCCTTGTTAATGTCTTAGAAACCATACACCGTTATTTCCATGGATCAGAAATTTTACACATAATTTTGGACCTGTAGCTTTATTTTATTAGTAATTGCTACTATAATTTATACATTATTTTGCCATAGAACAATATATCAAGGCTGGCAGGTGGCGTGGTGGTTAAGGTGCTAGACTCTCACATGACCAACTGCCATTTGAGTCCTGGACCAGTGGCTTGTTTTCTCACTTTCCCTTTCTCTCTCTCTCTGGTCAAATTTTAAAAATAATAATAAATTAAATGAAATTAAATAATGCTTTAAAAAGAAGACAATATAAATAAAAGTTTTTATTCAAAACAAGGTGTTGGTAATATCCTTGATTTGATTATCACATGTTGTATGCATACTTTGAAAAACATATTGTATGCCATAAAGATGTAGGGCAATTAAATGTAAATAAGAAGATAAAAATTAAAAAAGAATGTATCAAAGTACTAGTAAGTGCTGATATATGTAGAAAAATATGTACTTGAAATTGATACTTTTTATTAGAAGTTAGATGTGATAAAATGTCAGGGGAAGAAAAATCTATGACTCTCCCCTTGGGCTGCTCATTCTGGAGGGAGGTTTGCATGGACATGAGAGTGAATGATGAGATGTTAAAAGGCACATTCATGTGGAATTATGCTCCCATGGTTGTAGATCGAGGTTCTCTGAACATAGCTGGGGCTCTGCACCCTTTTCTGCAACCTACAGCATTTCTATGTGAATTAGAAAAGTCTACCTTCCTCAAAATGCTATTATTTCCAACTGGAAACTAATATAGAGATGATGCTATTTAAATAAGATGTATTACTGCCATCTGCTGGGAAAGTGTTGTAAAAAGTATTCAAATCTCTGGCGTCTAAGATGTGAATGGTAGCGTACAGATAGGGAGTCCTTGTGCATTACACAACTTGTCCAACTTTATACAGGAGCCCTGATGAAAACATGCCCTGTTAATGTTGCATTTATATTAAACGTAATGTCATTCTTGAATTGTACAAGCTTTCAAAACGACATTGAAATAATACCTGTCCCATGAAAATTAACTATATTCTATATCATTTTACAGTGTTCTTGTTTTCACTCAATATTACTTGAAATGATTTATCATTCTTTAAAAAATAATTTTAAGGAGCCGGCAGGTGCCATGGTGATTAAGACTGCTGGACTTCCACATGGTTAACTGCTGTTCGAGTCCCAGACCTGGCAGCTTGCTTTTCCTCTCTCTCTCTCTGGTCAAATTAAGATAAGTAAATAAATAAATAAAGTTAAATAAAACAATTCTTTTTTTTGGATTTTTTTTTTTTTTTTTTTTTTTTTTTTTTTTTTTTTTTCTTTAGGGCACATGCGCCCTCCCGACCACACCCCCCCAGGGGGGATGGACACACCGCAATCCCTTCTCCTCCATTCTCCTCTCAGGATCTTAAGCACGCATGACCGATGTGAGTTCTAAGCCACCAGGTCCAGGACTCTAACTGCGGTCTACTACATGGGAGTCCAGCGACATAGCCATTATGCTAACTACTGATCCCTAAACAAAATAATTCTTAAGAAAATTTTAAGTGACATGTTGTTTGTAATTAAAAAAATACTGCCATTTGACTATTCCCCTTATATTGAACATATTAATAATTTACAATTACTATTATTCTAAATATTATAAAAATTGTCTCTATAGATAAACAATAGATGATAGATGGAAATATATCAAGATAGTAACAGAGACATAAGTATTTTTAGTGGCTTTGGGAGAGATTTAAAGTAAGAAATGTCTAGTACAGACACTGTGAATATCTTTAAGGAGCTTCTGATAGAACTGTTTTACCTTAAACTTCAAATAGTAGTATATATAAAGTATTTTTAAAATACACTAGCCACTATTCTATTGTCTTTTTAACATTTTGATTATTTGTTAATGAAACAAATTAAAAATGCTATTTTATTGTTACCGACTTGAATTCCTATGAAAAAATAAAACAGATATTTCAAGTACTTTAAAATGTAACCAGTGAAATTTTTATTTTCTTTAATATGATCTTCACAGAATTGTAAAAGTGTTTCAGTTTTGAGTGGTGGTGGTTCATAAATAGGTTCTTATGACTATGTTAGTGGTCTGATCACTGAATAACTTCTAATGCTAGAATATATTCACTGGCACTTCATGTCAAAAAATGATAATTGTAGAAATTTGTGTTACAGCAATTTGCAATCCAAAGTGTCTTTATGGAGGCAGGTGTGTATTTCCCAACGTGTGCTCTTGCCGCACTGGACATGTTGGAGTCAAATGTGAAAAGAAAATACAGGTACTTTAAATTTTAAATTGAAAATAAATATTAGATATTTATAAGTGCATAGCTCTGTATTTCTCACTAATTGATTTCTGTTAACATGTTATATATACCTCCAACATAAAAAGTACAAATATTTGCCTCTAAAACTAAAAATAACATCTCTTTAATATCATTACTCAATAAGAATTTAGATATTCATTTAAGGAATTGCAATGTGTAGATACAGCTGTCAAATTAATGCAATATTTCATGACACTGGAGTGAGCTTAAATAGCAAATATTTGACAATATGGATTTAAGACATCCATAATTTATATTTAGCCAAATATTAGACCAAAAGACCAACTTCCCCCCTCTCTAGAAATCTACCACTTTTAAATCAGAGATCAGTACTTGATTGATTTGAAGGTGTCCCTGAACATTTTCACTGGGTCATGTGCAATTAAAGCCTTGTCTATCCTCATTCTTTGCCCTGATAGATAGTGTTTCTCTTCATTTGCTTCCTATTAAAACCCATGCCCAAAAAACAGTAGAAAACTCTTCCTGTCATTAAATTAGGATTTACTTGTATTTCATAAATCAAGAAATGAAAGAAAGAACAGAGCTGTCTTTGAGTTTTTGAAATTGCCTCACACCTGCTTATAAGGTCAATGCTATATAAACATCTACTTTAAAAGTTTCTGTGATAATATTTCTGCATATAAGATTAAATTGAATTTGTATGGTCCCTAATCTTAAATTTCCAAATGTCAACAGGCAAGATATTTTTCAGTCCTAATTCCTAAAGGGTACCTCTAATGATCACCAAAAAAAAAAAAAAAAAAAAAAATCTTAATCTGTAGCAGTTTTAATTTAAAAAGCAATTACATGCTATTTAGCACTTCAAAAAACCCAAGGGTAATAAATATCAACGTATGCTGGAGTACTGTAATTTGAAAGATAGAAATTTCCTTCTTGAAGCTTGATACTCAGTCACTCTGACTTAGAGGCAAAGTGGATGCATGTATATTTTTCTTCTAGCACAGGTGTTTATTCTGGAAAGATATGGTCTCCATTTTGAAAATAACAATATCATAATAGTGGTATGGTTTTAAAACCCAAAAGTAAAAATTATTGAATATTAGATACATTGAGAGAAATAAATCTGTCTCTCCGATGAGCACACATGCCCTATAGCAAAAAAAACCTCTCTCTTAAAAAAAAAAAAAAAAAAGAGAGAGAACAATAGGAACTTGAGTTTCCCTGTTTTGTTTTTGCTACAGGGTATGTGCACTCAACAGAGAGAGAAAAAAAGAGAGAGAGAAAGCACCCTTTAATGGAGTATGATCATGTCACAGTCCTTTATCTGTCATCCTGTCAGGATTCTGGGAACAAATGCACTGGTGCCAGGCATGTTTCTCCAACTGCCAGGGCCAGGACTCAGCCATGGTCAGCCAGGTAGGATCTGCTTTTCTATGCACAGTCTTTAACCACTGTGCTATGGGGCCAGCCCAAGTTTTTCTGTGTTTGAAGACAGCTTAAATTTATTTTATTTTTATTTTAGATTTTAGATGCCTATTGCACAGGAAACTCAATAACCTCGAAGTTTTCAACTCTATTGTGACAATACTAAACTAGGCTGCTTCTCTATGTTCTATTTTTATGTATTTACTTACCATCTGGATCCTCATATAACCAAAAACAAATGATCTTTATTGCTGTTCTTGTTGCTTCTGAGACTGTGCTTGGAATCATACTAAGGAAATAGAAGTTCATGGGGAAGGAAAAAGACTAGCACTATCACATGACCTGCTTAACCACAGCCAGATTTCCCAAGTTCTTCACTTTAATTCTCACCCTGCCTTTATTCTATTAATCACTAGTGCGATCATTTTTCCTTGTTATTGATATTTCTTTGGCTCCTAGACACAGAATAAAATATAAATTTCTCTTAGCAGAATAAAAGCAACCACTATTCATGGTATTTACGCAACCTTTCCTAATTCTTTCCCTCTCTCCCCTCTTTCCTACTCCCCTGAATCAAGAGGTCTCAGGTTGATCCATCACTTCCTGCCTTCTTCAAGCACCCTGAGGTAGTGGATTTTAAAAAAAGAAATGGAGAGGGACCAGCAGTTGGCATAACGGCTATGTTGCTGGACTCCCACGTAGTCGACTGCGGTTTGAGTCCTGGACCTGGTGGCTTAAACTCATGCCAGGCATGTGTGTATGTGTGTGTGTGTGTGTGTGTGTGTGTGTATCCAAGATCCCGAGAGGAGAATGGAGGAGAAGGGATTGTGGTGTGACCATCCCCCCTGGGGGGTGATTTCTCACTTTCTCTCTGTCGTTCTGTCGAGTGCACCCACCCTATAGCAAAAAATCTCTCCAAAAAAAGAAAAGAAAAAAGAAAAAGAAAAGAGAAAAGAAATGGAGGATACTGATTGCATTGGAAGTATCAGTGAAAAAGATAAGGAATTAGGGAGAGAGACAACAGGCACAGAAAAAGGGGGAAATGAAAAAGCAAGGAAAGAGGCACTAAAGAATGTGAAGTGACAAAAACCTTTGAGAAGTAGTATAACCTTCCCGCTGGCTGCAGGGTCCCCTTACATTCCCCCTGCCACTCCTTTACTCTATGGCCTTGGGCGAGTTATTTAACCCTTCTGATTTTCTGTGTTTCATCTGTAAGATAGGGTTAATAGTAACATAGGGTTTTATAAGGACGCAATATGTTAATATACTGTCTATTATGGATTAAATATGTTAATATACTACCTTAAGTACCTAGAACTATAGCAAAAATCTCTCAAAAAAAAAAAAAAAAAAAGAGAGAGAACAATAGGAACTTGAGTTTCCCTGTTTTGTTTTTGCTACAGGGTATGTGCACTCAACAGAGAGAGAAAAAAAGAGAGAGAGAAAGCACCCTTTAATGGAGTATGATCATGTCACAGTCCTTTATCTGTCATCCTGTCAGGATTCTGGGAACAAATGCACTGGTGCCAGGCATGTTTCTCCAACTGCCAGGGCCAGGACTCAGCCATGGTCAGCCAGGTAGGATCTGCTTTTCTATGCACAGTCTTTAACCACTGTGCTATGGGGCCAGCCCAAGTTTTTCTGTGTTTGAAGACAGCTTAAATTTATTTTATTTTTATTTTAGATTTTAGATGCCTATTGCACAGGAAACTCAATAACCTCGAAGTTTTCAACTCTATTGTGACAATACTAAACTAGGCTGCTTCTCTATGTTCTATTTTTATGTATTTACTTACCATCTGGATCCTCATATAACCAAAAACAAATGATCTTTATTGCTGTTCTTGTTGCTTCTGAGACTGTGCTTGGAATCATACTAAGGAAATAGAAGTTCATGGGGAAGGAAAAAGACTAGCACTATCACATGACCTGCTTAACCACAGCCAGATTTCCCAAGTTCTTCACTTTAATTCTCACCCTGCCTTTATTCTATTAATCACTAGTGCGATCATTTTTCCTTGTTATTGATATTTCTTTGGCTCCTAGACACAGAATAAAATATAAATTTCTCTTAGCAGAATAAAAGCAACCACTATTCATGGTATTTACGCAACCTTTCCTAATTCTTTCCCTCTCTCCCCTCTTTCCTACTCCCCTGAATCAAGAGGTCTCAGGTTGATCCATCACTTCCTGCCTTCTTCAAGCACCCTGAGGTAGTGGATTTTAAAAAAAGAAATGGAGAGGGACCAGCAGTTGGCATAACGGCTATGTTGCTGGACTCCCACGTAGTCGACTGCGGTTTGAGTCCTGGACCTGGTGGCTTAAACTCATGCCAGGCATGTGTGTATGTGTGTGTGTGTGTGTGTGTGTGTGTGTATCCAAGATCCCGAGAGGAGAATGGAGGAGAAGGGATTGTGGTGTGACCATCCCCCCTGGGGGGTGATTTCTCACTTTCTCTCTGTCGTTCTGTCGAGTGCACCCACCCTATAGCAAAAAATCTCTCCAAAAAAAGAAAAGAAAAAAGAAAAAGAAAAGAGAAAAGAAATGGAGGATACTGATTGCATTGGAAGTATCAGTGAAAAAGATAAGGAATTAGGGAGAGAGACAACAGGCACAGAAAAAGGGGGAAATGAAAAAGCAAGGAAAGAGGCACTAAAGAATGTGAAGTGACAAAAACCTTTGAGAAGTAGTATAACCTGCCACTAGCTGCAGAGTGCCCTTACAATCCCCCTGCCACTCCTTTACTCTATGGCCTTGGGCGAGTTATTTAACCCTTCTGATTTTCTGTGTTTCATCTGTAATATAGGGTTAATAGTAGCATAGGGTTTTATAAGGACGCAATATGTTAATATACTGTCTATTATGGATTAAATATGTTAATATACTACCTTAAGTACCTAGAACTATGCCTAGAACTATGTGTGAAGAAAGTACTAAGAAAGGGATTCTTATTATTTATTGCATTGAATAGAAAAATAGAGATAAAGAAAAGGATAGGAAAGGAGACTTTGAAATATTTTCTTTTTTTTTCATCTTTCAGCCATTTGTTTCTCTTTATTTACAGTTTGTGTTCAATATGAATCAATTCCATAACATGAGAAGTTACTAAGAATCAAAGCATAAATACACAAGCACAATATACAATCCAAAATAGATGTATAGGATTCAGGTATGAAGCAAAAGGAATGTTCATTCACACACACAGTCACTTCAGATCTGTTCAGCCTGGTTCTTCTCATACACGTTTCTAAAGATGAAAGAAAATAACTTTATTAGATACTAGAATAGAACCTAAGCATTGGTGTATGACCATGAGAACAAAATACTTCAGGGAAGTGTATTTTTACAAAGGTTTCTTTCTTTTTTAAAAATAATTAATTAAATTAAATTAAGTTTCACCAGAGAGGGACAGAGAGAGAGACAGAAATTGAAAAGGCAAGCCACCAGGTCCAGTACTCAAACCTTGGTCAGCCATGTGGGAGTCCAGTGCCCTTAACCACCATGCCACCTGCTGGCCCCCAAAAGGTCTCTGTGTTGAGGCTGTTGGAAAAGATTTTACAGAATGAAGCTCACCTGAGGTTCTAACTATCTAAAAATATGGACTGATAGCAGAAAGTGTTCCAATGTGGCTATTCTGATCCATAGGTTAAAAAAAAGATTTACAGAAAGAGTATAAAAGTTTCTGTGAATTGTATGCATGTTAACTTCCATTCTTCACTTCCCAAATACCTGACTTACAGTTTTGACTCCTTCACATATTTATCTTTTTAATTTCAAGATTTGTAATTCTACCTTTGGAACAGATCATTTTTCAATGTAAAAAATGCAGAAATTCAGCATATGCAGAAATAAAAAGCAATATTTTTAAATTAATTGAGGTCATTGCAATTCTACTCTTTTAAAATAGTTTAACAAAAAAATAAATAAATAAAAAGTTTAACTAAGTGAACCTGGTGCTCTTGTCCAGTAAGAACATTGAACCGTTTGACTTCATAAGGTTAAGCAATGTTCACCCAATAGGCTTGGATTTGGGGGTAGATTTCAACCCATCATTGCCCTGGCACATCTCAATTACCCCATAAAAGATCAAATGCAATGTCAAACCCAAAGCCTCAGAGGAAAAGAGTTTAGGTCCCCAGAAAACAGTGATAACTTTACAACGTGAAATTTTATCTAGAGTATATTGGCATTAAATTAGTACTACTGAAACGATACACTGAGGATTTACAGTAACACCTGGAAGTTCCTTATAATGTACATATAAATAGAATCATGGAAACTTTTGATATTATATAATTGTTTTATGGCCTTATGGATTTAATGAACCAAATGAAAACTGAATATTCATTCTACATCCTATTCTTTATCTCTAGATAAGACAAAATCTATTCTTGATTTCCAGAGAGGGTTTTACATGTCCATATTTCTTAAGCCACATTCAAGGAAATCATGTCTTAACTAATTTAGAGTGTTGTCTCTTCATCTTGTACATGAAACTCCACCATGTTTAATCTTGGCATTCATCATCTGTTCAAGTCCTTCACATGTTCTTCAATCAATCAAATCTGGGATTTGCTACATTTTCTGTGTTGATAAATAAGGTGTGGAATTAATAGATTCAATGAAGACCTGTTTGTTTTTTGTTGTTTGTTTGTTTGTTTTTTTCCCTTGCTACTCTGGACTTCTAAATGCCATTGGGACTGGGTTTAGAAGATGGGGAACTGTAGATATTTCTTGGCCTGAGTTTCTTAATAGTAGAGATGGAGAGGAGAAAGTAAAAGTACAAGGAAACTGGCTGTTGACTGCAGGACACTGCCAATGGCCTTGGTGGCATTAGCTGGATTTGGAGCAGCTCAGGTATTCTGGGAGGAGTTACTTGCAAGTGTTATGACAGCATTTTGAGTTGCATAAATATGCATGGGTAGGAGCAGTGCCAGCAGCAGCAGTCCCAGCCCCAGCCTGGCCACCACAGTGCTACCCATGTCTGCTCCATCGGTTCTCCGCACTCTCACTGGATACTGCATGCTTGGAAAACCACTGGTTTGGGGGCAGGTGCAGATGAGGTCGAGACTTAGAAATATTTCAGTGTCTTGTGAATATCTATGGTCATTTCTTGAAGGATATCAGAAGGTAAATTAATTGGTTTTATTGGGCATGAATGTTTCTTGACTGAAACTCTGCCAAGATGGGGTCATAGGATATGTAAACTCCATTCAGTCAATTTACTTTGGCCTTCAAATGCAATTTGATTCGTTCCCAATTTTATGAAAATAGTATTGAATCTAGTGGCAAGCAGAATCCAAAGAGCTTTATGTCTCATGTCAGAGGGAAGGAGGTGACAAATAATAAGTAATTGTTAAGCGATGTTCTATTATTTATTGATTTCCTTCTTCCTATTACAGATAAAACACTATTGAGTGACATCAAGTATATGAATGATAAGCTTATATTAAGAACTGAAATGTTTTACCCCAAAAAAAGTTGAAGATAATTTCTAAAGTTTATTGTAAAAATACTTCAAAGACTGAAGAAACTAATCAAATATAGAATGATCTTTTTTGTCATTGCTAAAGAAAAGAAAAATTTCAGGTAATTTAAATTTGACTTTGAAATATAATTGATATTTATGTATTGAGATGATATATCTGATATTACAGCCATTCAGTGTTTAACAAACTGAATATTTTCCCAGTATACCTATGATTATATCTGTATCATCAGGGGTCAGTCAGCATAACAGGAACCATTTGATGTCTTCCAGAAATACAGTATAGAATGCAGAATCAGGGTCTTGCAGGACTGTCGAAAGAACTGGAGTTAAGGGCAGAGAGGTAGAGGTCAGAAAGCAGCCTCTGAAGGTTGTAAAGGTTGATACCGAAGGTGTCAGCCTAAAGCACCAAGTAGGTACTTTTCAGATATTTTCCTAGGACCTCTGCAACACTTCAGAATGTTCATAAACTACAATCAACTGTCTCAAGCAAAGTGGGTCATTCTCAAAAATTGGCTGAAAAACCACTGTGATTCTTTTATCTTCCCAAACATCTGGCTACAAACGACTCTGAGAAATCCAGTGGTATTTTCATTTCAATCTCTCAAGTCTCTGCAGAGTACTCATTGGAAAACTGGAACTCAGAACCACACAGAGAAGGGGATTCTGGAAAACATAGCTCCTAGCCTCAGGAAGGAGGAGCAGTGGTGCTATGCAGCTAACAGTGCACTCATGCGAGACATGCTAAAAGGTCTGTGTCATCTTGCTTTCCACTGTATTCCAGAGATCAAAGCCAATACTTTTCACTAAGAAAAATGCCTTATTTCAAAAAAGACTCCCAAGACCCAGGCAATAATCCCCCCAAAAGACAAGTGGGACGACATCAGGCTAAAAAGCTTCTGCATGGTAAAAGAAACAATCATTAGAGTAAAGAGACAATCCTCAGAATGAAAGAATATATTTGCAAACTATACCTCAGATAACGTATTAACAATCAGAATATACAGGGAACTCAAGTAGCTTTCCTGCAAAAACAATAATAATAATCAATTCAATTGAAAGATGGTCAAATCAACTGAACAGACATACAAATGGCCAAGAAGCATATTTAAAAAGTGCTCAACATCTCTTATTATAAGAAAAATGCAAATCAAAACCACAATGAGATACTACTTAGTAACCAGTCTGAATGGCTGAGATTAAAGGGGAAGAAAATGAAGAACGAAAAGTGCTGGCAAGGCTGCAATAAAAAGGAACCTTCCTACACTGTTGGTAGGAATAAAAATTAGTGCAGTCACTGTGGAGAAAAATATGGAGAGTATTCATAAACCTACAGATAAAACTACCTTATGACCCAGAAATTTCACTCCTCATTGTCTTTCCATAGGAAAACAGTCAGAAAACAAGTTGCACATGCATGCTTATTGCAGAATTAGTCACAATTACTAAGATAGAGGATCAACCCAAATGTCCAAAAACAGACATTTGATTGAAAAAGTGTGACACATATATACTATGGAATACTACTCAGCCATATAAAACAATGAGACCCTGGTCTTTGATACAAAGTTGATGAATATGGAAGATTTAATGCTAAGCAAAGCAAGCCAGACTATGAAAAAGAGGCATTGTATGTCCCCGCTTAATACAATATATATATTGAATATCTGTACTCTATGCTAAAAACTGAAAGATTAGAAAATACAATAGCAGGGAGGGCAATTGTAGATATTAGAAACAATATAGGCAAGTAAATAATAGAAAGTGGGAGGAAGGGAATCAGGAAAAAATTTAACAGACACAAAATTGAAATGTTCTCTGTGAATGATAATGTATATGGTAATATTTTTGACTAATATGCACTATATTCATGCTGGAAAAAAATTTGTGCACTGTAGAGATGTACAGTGATTAAATGTAATTAAAAAGATTAAAAATTTAAATTTTAAAATACCATATTTCATTGTGTTTGTTTGTTCCCCCCCACCCATGTTTCTATTGTTCTGGCTTATATCATTCTTGGACAAGGGAGAAGAAATGATGAGAGTTTGGAGTTTTAAAAAATTTCCTTGGTTATTGTGTTTCTGTGTAAAAAGGATTTGAAAATCCTTGTTTTATCTTTCCACTCATTTAGTACTGTGATCCATTTTGGTGTAGAAGTCAAAAGAGAATTGATGACAAAACCAAATCATTCTACACATATCAAAAGAGAAGTAGATATGAATATTTAATAAAAACAAACTTAAATTACATGCATTATTGTAAAAGTGGGTAACATCAAGAGGGAATACATATATAACCAAGATGCAAATAATTACAAGTTGGCTGTAGTTATAAAGCTTCCTCTTACCTACTATCTCATTTTTTACCTCAAACTTTTCAAAAATATTTTAATTTAAACATACCCATCTTCAATCATGTAAATTTACAAGGTTTATCTTTTTAAGTAAAAAGATTGAGGATTTCTAAACGCTGTCTAAATTAAGATTGCAGGGAGCACCTTAAAATGGACATAGTCTTTGTTCTTAGGCTGCAGGGCATGCAAAAGCTCTAAACAAAGCCATAATCTACTGCTGGGTGATTAACTGGATTGGATCCAGTTGTCTGACTGAGTCAGACAGAAAATAGCAGTAACCTGAGTGCTTGCCAGAGTAGGCCAGGAGAGGCTTATTTAGAATCACGAGGTGCTTCACAGCTGAAGAAAGTGGCTTTGCCTCCTCTATAAAAGAATGAGCACAGAATGGTTTAGGACCCCAACAGACACTGGATCCACCTGACCCTCACTTTTGTCTGTTCTGCGTTTCTTAATCCACAGTCCTTCCTCTCAAGGTACCCTATCTCTTCGCCCTCAGGTCAGGGTATAAGATAAAGTAACACGATTAAAATAATATTAGTGCTTGCTTTGCTAAAAAAATTTAAGTAATAGCATCTAATATCATAATTAGAAATTTTAATTTATTAGTTTTTATTTGCTGAAAGGTAGCATTAAAGGATTTTTTAAATTGATGATAACATGCGTCTCTATGTTTTAATCTATGTTACCAAAAATTCAGGAATATAAATTCAAAATAAGCCATTAAGTACTTAAATTCTTAAGCTCTTGTGAGAGTGTGAGTATTAGGAAGAAAAAAGTACTCTAGAGAAAAGTAATTTTTAAACTTAATCATTGGATTTGAAATTCCTTCTATGAAAATAGATTTTTTAATCAGTCTCTGCCATCTTTGCTAGTATACAAGATAGCAATTTTGCCAGTAGTTTTATTAAAGCAATTTTTAATACAAACTTTTTCTGGTTAAAAAGTTATAATTACTTAAGGATTCATTCTGAAATTCCTTAACTAATACATACATTTTTTATATACATTTTCTGGATCCATACCAAGAATCATGAGAGACAATTAAAATAGAGTACCCATTTATAGTAGATTTAATGGACCTGTATATGTTAATAATGAAGAAATTCTCTGGCTTACAGGTTTTACATAAAACCTCTCTTTATAAAAGCTAATGACTCATGGAAATGAAAGTAATGTTTTAGAAGTATAATGTGCATTTAGAAATACCAGTAATTTGATACATTTATAAGAAATAAATTTAATTTCTTTGCTTATTTCTTGGTGATACTGTGGATGGCTTCAGTGATATCCATGTTCTTGGTGTTATAGACAAAGAATTGAACAAAACATGCCAATAGCAAAGGATGGTTTATTAAGTTAAAGCAAAAGTACACTTCTAAGAGCTAGGCATGAACCTGAGCAGAAAGGGAGAATGGCTTAAGGGCCCCAGTAATTACTTTCCACAGGGTTTATAATTCCTTAACTGGGGTTGTGTTGATTGATCATTGGCTGCACTCATTAATAGCTTTCATCCCATTGGCTATATCAAATATGGCTGGGCCCACTGATTTATCTCATTAGTTATGTCTATAGTGGCAGGGCCACTTACATTTCCTAGAGTAGGGTATTCTCTGTCCTGATTGGTTTTTCTATCTAGCCACATAGGCAGATACTCCAGCCCCCTTACTGGCCTCTGTTTTCCAGCTTTCTTCTTGCCTCGGTGATATTTCACATCAATTAACTTAAACATAGGTTATTCACAGTCTATTTGGAAAATACTTGAAGATAATGTGTTCAAGAATTTAAACAAAAGTACTTTAGATGTGCAATTTCAATATTTACCTTACAAATGTGAATTCTTTTTAAAAAGGTCTTACTAAATTAATATTGTTGGCTATTTTGTGTTTATTGCTTTTAACATAAAATGTAATGTTTGAATTATCAAATATTCTTTTTTTTAAAAAAAATTTTCACAGTTCACCTATTTATTTCCTGAGGGACAGAGACAGACTGTCTCTGTTACTACCAACAGGGTCCTCACACCGTGACCCCCCCCCTCAGTCAGCCCATATAACAGGCACACACACATACCCGATCTACTCAGGGAGGTTTCAGAACATGAACCCAGGACCCTTTCCACATAGTTCAACTGCACTGACATTGTGCTACCACCTGGTTTGTGAATTATTAAATATTCTTTTCTTTGATAATCTTTTAAAATATAACACCTCTTTGTACTTTAAAATATGCAT